CTTGCCTTAAACTGAAGAGTTAAATGTTTTATGACTATCTACATAAAAACTTAATGTTAGATTTCCTTTCCTTATATAAGTAATAAGTTAGAATTAACGGTATATTTTACCTCATTGACTATTTCTTTAGTCTGCATAATTTTATTGATCCAGTCAAATGATACGATCCATTTGGATGCCGCCAATGCACACATGTATTTGACAGATCTGAAATATAACATATTTTATATTATCTTAAAAGTGAAGCTAAATAGATTCCCAGATAATGGCTGCGGATTATACTGTTTATGAACAATATAGGTAGTCAGATAACACTTTTTGTATATTGATAATTTATGATGAATAAGAAAGTTACCTTTGGGACTTTTTCTCGTCATCGACACCAACTATCAAATGAGTAATATCATTTGTGTACTTGTCAACGTAGCTCCATTTTCGTTCATTACAAAGAATTTTAAGTTTCGTTATTTGAGTTGCTGTTAGACAGGAACCAGCCAAACAGTACTTCTTATTTGCGTTCGACGCTAAATTCCTAGCAACCAGCGGTCGCGCCGCGGGCGTAGTAGGCGTCCTCTCAAACGCTTTACTCATAAACTCCCTTTCCTGAGTTGTTTTAGCAATTATTTCAGAAGTCTGACACAGAGTCTGTTCAGGATCATTGTCATCATTTTCATGATCGAAATTTAGCGATTTCCTGGCCATTGGCGTCGACTTATGTTTAATTTGATCAGCAAACTTTGTTATAGTCAGTGGCGTTTCTAGTGCTTGCTTTGGAGCAGCAACTTCTATGACTGTCAAGTCTCTGCTACTCCTGTTAGATTCAGTCGCAGTGTCTGTCAAGTTGATTATACTTTTCACACTTGGAGTGGATTTTGTTATAGAAACTTTCTTATTTTCATTTGAAGCTATTTGTGATTGGTTAGATGTGCTGGTCCTCTTGAGTTTCGAGAATGATAAGTTCCTAGAAATAATAAAACTAACATGAATTTCAAATCACATAGGTAATCAAGGTCAACAATTAGTATAATTTTTATTTGTATTTATTGTATAATAGCGTATTTGTTCACATTCAGTCAGCAAAAAGTCGAATACCTTACGGTTTTGTAAAACAGTTCTTAGAATTTAGTATCATCCTTGGCAACAAAAGTCATTGTTTTGAATTTAAAATAGATAGAATCATGTGAGATAGGTGTGAGCTTATGGATGTATGCATGTACATGGCCTATTCATTTATGAATTAAAATTTGTATTTATACTCATCAATTTCACATTATTTTTTTCATAATTTCATAATATTTTGCTCATTTTATCATCAAATTCACATTAAATGAACTAAAATAATAATAACTAAGCGATAGAAATCCGGTTACACATTCATTACACATCAGTAACTATTTAATACTTACTTTTGTGGTGTTTCCTCAACTACACTCCTATCAGAGTCATCGTAATCTTGTGACCTTATGTTGGTTTTATTAGTCTTCATAATACAATCCTGGCTCTCCTGAGTGGAGTTCAAATTGTGACATAGAACTGGTGTGAGTAATTCTTCAACTTGTTGTGGTACCTGGAACATTTTATAGGAATGGTTAAGAGTATTTCAAAACATTGAAATTGATGAGAAAATGATCAATCTCAAAGACTGTCTACTTTCAAACATTTTTGATCAAATGACCCACCTTGTCTAGTTTAGTTATTTCTTCATCATCCTTTTCTACAATAGAGAATACATTTTCACTGTGCTTTTCATTAAAATATTCTTTTAAATTTGGTGTTATTTCAGCATTTGTTTGTGTCAACACCTTTTTGCTCATCTGTGTATTTTTAATTTGTGTTAAATTCTTTTTGTTCTGTTCAGCCACAATGTTATGCTGACTGTTTACTTTATCTTTCAGTATTGAACCACTGACAACCTCTTGACTCTTTCTGATGTCTTCCATATCTGCATCAATGCTGGCAAACACTTGTCCCATGATAGCATCGTAATTTATTGGTTCACTGTCAGGTTGTGGTTGGTTCTCAACATTCTTATTTTTATCCACTGGAGTTATTTTAATTTTCTTGTTATTAGGTAGCACATCTCCATCATTGATGTCTCTAATACGTTTCTCTGCAAGTTTTTGGGTCCTAAACTTGCTACAGACTGTAGACCCCAATATTTCTGAGGGTGCATGTTCTTTTAATGGTTGAACTTGGGCTTCCTTTACTGAACCACTATGAAATATGTCTAGATCATTGAAATCATCAATGTGTTCCGATTGCTCTATTATTTTATTAGGTTTTTCTGACTGTTGTCTTACACTTTTAATTTCTTCATGATCAGAATCTTCACACTCCATTATCTTGGATAATTCTTTCTCTACACTTTCAGTGATTTCAAATTGTGCAGTGGCTGTGTCAGCAGAAGCTGTATTCTTTTTCAGAGATGTAGTTCTGTCCATAGTGTTATCAACAACAGATACCTTGTTAATTTTATTCAAACTTACTGTCTGCTCTTTACCAGAACTTTCTTGTATGTTAATCAAAGGCTTTTGTCCATCAGTATTATTATTTGCAATGCTTATGTCTATATTCTGAGTATTTGTGGATTTTGTAACACTATTATTAGTTTTAGCTAAATGGTCAGGGCCTAGGGATGTTTGTATTTCACGGTCAGTATTAATTTTTACTTGAACATCCTTTTCTTTCTTTTTGATCACTATGTTTGTAATTGTATTCCCTATTTTAATAGAGATTTCTATGTCATCTGAATTATCAGACGAAATTGGTTGTATAGGATCTTCATTTGTTTTTAGAATAACATTTTCTGTTCTCTGTGGATTCAGTGCACCTTTTTTTATAAACGGCATTTTTAATTGAGTAACCGGTGTGTGTTTTTGTACTTCAGTTGATTTTTCAATATGTTTAGAGGTGGTACAACTTTCTTCATTTATATAATTACTTGCTTTGTCTTCTTCACTAATGACCCTTGGTATAACTTCTGTTTCCTGAAGTACAGGTTTTATAGAATCATTATTTTTTCTGCATTCTTTTTCTGTTAAATTTACTTCAGGACCAATCATCTCAGTCACCAGTTCATTTTGGTTGATATTGACATCCTCATTTTCCTTATTATGAAACTCTGGAGTATTGTCATCAATGTTGTAAACTTGTTGAGTTGTTATTGGTGTTTTAACAACAGGTTTTGGGTTTTGTGTCTTCTTCACCATTTCAATTGAAACATTCAGTTTATTTCTATTCTTCTTATTCAACTTACTGAACTCCTTCCTCATTCTCTTAACATTATTCCAATTTTGTTTAGATTTTTGTGACTTTTTATCATTATCAGCACTTGAATCTCTAGAACTTTGCATGTTAGAAGAAAGGTCCTTGGGTGCTGATTCATCTTTCAAATCTCTTTTTCTTGAGCTTCTTCGCGGATTATCTGTTGTATACTCTGTATCCTCCACAAAAAAGGGTTCTATGTCCATGGGTCCAATGATATTCTCACTTTTTTTAGTATTTGTAGGCTCAGGCATTGGTTCTATTTTGTCCCAATCATCTTGAGGTGGAGGCACATGAACTACTTTTGGAGGACTTATAGTTTTCCTAGTATCAGTATGAATTATTATATTGCTTGCTGAAACTTCCAATGGGTTGCTTGGTTGTGGTAGATCTTGAGAAAATACTTCAGAATTCTGAACTGGTGCAGAGAAATGATTTTGTGAACTTGTCAACCAGTCTTTAACATTCTTGTCTGGATCTTTTTCATAATCAAGTTCACCTGGAGTATCCAGATTAAATTCATCCACTGAAAATAACATCATAATAATAATTAAAATTAATAACAAAAATCATTCACAACAGTAGGCAGCTCATCTGCCTAGATACTTAATATTTTGAATACACCCTCTTTTATTAGACATTTGATGTTATGTTGTTAGCATGGCAAGAATGTAGCAGTTTACTGTATAGCTTATTCTATTGGAACATCTTAATAGTAACAAATCTGTATCTACAAGCTCTAGAACCAGTAACAAGTCGAGTTTATACCCATTAAACCAATAATATATATAGTCAATATATTTTAAATTTATTATAGGAATCAATTTGATTGTAATGATTGAGGTGTTTCAAGCATTTTGTAACTTACATTTGACATTAAAAAGTTTTTCAAATGCATCTCCTAGCATTTGGATATGTTCTGTTAGTTTTTGAAGAGGTATGTTTAGCTTTAGCGCTTTGCGTTCTAGTTGCTTAGCACAAGCTGGGCAAGTGCGACGTCCTCGCCAGCAGGTATGACACAACGTGTGGCCACAAGCTGCCGTTGCAGGTGCTATGTAGTATTTACAACTGGAATGTGTGATGTATTAGGTTATTACCTATTGGTATGCGATTTTCACTTCATATTTATTTACGACAATTGATGTAAAAAGTTCTTACCATTCTAAACAAGTAACGTGGTCGATTTGTAAGGATGTTAATCTAGATAATTTTGCCACATCCAAGTCCTTTAAATTCATTTTTTAAACGTTATTCTTCCGATACATTAGTGGTAGTCAGAAGTAATTTAGAAGACCCGTTTCAATGTTATTTGTTAAGTAAACACGTACTTTTCATAACACAATTTATGAAGATTCTTTAGAAATCAATTACCAAGCAAACTTATAAATACGCAAGGAAAAAACAACGAGAAACAAAACAAATGTTTCCTATGAATTTTCCCGCGTTTGTCAAAGTGACGTAAGTCTAGGTAGGTCGTTTCTTGTCAATGTCATAAAATTGTTCGTAGAGTAGTTCCATATTTAATAATACTAATTCCAGATTGTTCATATTTCAAAATAATAATACTAGATCTAACCGAAAATATTGGAAACGGTTTGACCAAATATAATTATGCGATAATATGTAGAAATTAATGTTTCTTCATATTATTATTATTCGTAAACGGTCATAATTTTATTTTTAGTGGCAAGTACTTTCGTGGGCCGTGCTTAGACTTTTTCAGTTATGAAACTGGCAACACTCTAATCACTATCTGTCAAGTGTAGTCAAGGGGTGCCGAGAAAAACCGAGTTCACCTTAGAAATTCAATAAATTCCGCTACAAAATATCAAAGTAAGATGAAAAACGTTGATTTAATTTTAAGTTATTGTGAGCCAATCGGCATAAATTCAAGTTTTTAGTTGAATACAGTTTTGTGCTTTACTACAAAATTATTACATAATCCAGGATTGTTTTTGTGGTAAAAAAAGGGATTTTATCCCTTTTATCCCAAAAATTTAGACATTTTTCTATTTATACTTTGTATTGCTAATTAGTCACGTTTAAGAACCAGTAAATAGGAATTAGAATATTTTGTTTTGTAGGTTAGGAATTAAATGTTCAAAATTGTTATTTGTGAACTGAAATCATAAATTAGATTTCTGATCATTTCACCTTAACCTTAGAACAAGAGATCTTATGATCTCTAAGGCTTTTTCTTACTGATAGTTTTCATAAAACGCAACCAAGAGGCTAGAGTTAATTAACATTCTATTAAAATAATTACAGAATGGCTCTGGCATTCCGTGGTGCTTTAAGATCTGTGGCGAGGAGGCTCCAAGTGCGTAGCTATGCAGATGCTCCTAAAGGTGACGAAATGGCACTCACATTTGCTGCTGGCAACAAGGTGTTTATTTAATTTTTTACTTTAATTATATTTGTTAATTTCAAATTGCATTATTTTTAATATCTACTTCTATCAATTGAAAATTACCATTAAAATAAAGGCAGAGACATGTTTGAGATATCAAAATAAATCAGTTTTTATAATTTATGAATCTGTTAAATGATGCATTGGTAATGAACATAATATCTACCTATTTATTTGGAGTCGCGGAGAACCTAATGGGTAACCGGGGCTCCAGCTCGACATGCGGGAGAAGGAACGGGGTGGTTTTTAGTCAGTAAGAGTCTGACACTCCCTCCCGCCTCACCCAGGCAGGTGCAGTCATACGATGATTTACCCCCTTAAAAAAATATCTACCTATTTATAATTATGTCTGTTACTATGCGTCACTCCTAGATTAAACTGTCAAACACCAAGCGGTCACCGGTGACCGCAACCTATTGTTCTATAATTGTGTCTACAAAACCGGTACTCGACGAGTTAATAATGAGTAAAAGTCTTGATAAAATTTTATCAAAGTCAATATGGTAGACAAACATAAATAAGGCTAAGAGGGTTCTGTTTAGTAATAAACAACACCTACTTTTCACCAGTTACATCCTATTGTAATATGGGAAAAGCCTATTGCCAAACTCCAGAAAATTTAAGAATATTGCTTTAAGGAACCGTGAACCTGACTGTTGCACTTTCTCTCAATAAATAACACATCAATTTTTTATTACTGCAGGTATTCTACGACAAAAAAGTTGTCAAGCAAATTGATGTGCCATCTATGAGCGGAGCATTCGGTATCCTGCCCAAACATGTCCCCACACTCGGTAAGCTAATTGCTTCTTATTGGTGCTGTGGTCATTAATATTACTTTATGATTAGAAAAAAAAAACAATAATATTCACTTACTTTTGCAAAACTGGGAATGGGAAATATCTGTTTTCAATAGTAATTGTAATATGTTTTTTAATAATATTATGTCATTAAATCTCTTATGTCATAAGGCTGTTCTTTGTCCTTTATTAATTAAAATCTACTTCAGTGCGGTTTCACTCACCCTGCTCGGCTCGTCTTACTTTCCATTCAATACAGTCCATATAGTCCAAAGTTAGTTCTTTGGATAGTAAATCATCCAAATTGAAACCACTTACAGAGATTAGCATGTTCAGATAAGTACTCTCTTTCGTTATATGTTGTTGACTGAAAGTGGTATTTTTAAAAAAAAAACACATTGCCCCACACTACGATTGTTTTCTGTGTCGTATCGTAGGTGCATTTACAAGAATACAAGTTCACATACACACACACGGAACAACAATTTGTGGATCACACAAAGAGTTGTTCCGTGCGGAAAAAGGAATTTCAATAATAATATTATTTATTTCAGCTGTCCTGCGCCCTGGTATTGTTACTGTGACGGAAAATGATGGAAAAGTTAGCAAAATCTTTGTATCTTCTGGCACTGTCACAGTTAACGACGATTCCTCCGTTCAGGTACTATTCTCTATATGTAATATTAACAGTATGTTAAATGTCACCTTCACCAATGTCAGTTCTATAAACTCCTATACAGCCTATTGGATATTATAGAACTTATCAACTAGGGAATTAATGCTACATTAACTTGACAAGTCGATGAATATACAATTTGGAAAGTTAATTTCATTTCCTAATCTTGCTTAGAATATAATGTCATTTATTCTACCATAGCAATTTATGTCCATACAATTTTAAGTCTCTCAAACGCCATTCAATTTTAAGTCGCGCTTAATTTAATTGTGCGCGTTTTGTCACTACAAGTTGTTTATAAAGTGACAGAGAGGGCACAATATTTAACTTAAAACTGAGTGGTTTTTCAGTATTTGGGTGTTAATTGTACAAGTGGAGTTACCCAGTGGAATTAGGTTGCACAAAATGTAAATCAATGTTGGTTTGTGCCGTGCCAGGAATGTTAACTTAAGTATTTTTCATCAATAAAACAGAGCTTTCTATGATTTTATATATTCCAGCTTACAATACTTTTCATATTCTAGGTCCTTGCTGAGGAAGCCCACCCTCTGGAAAACCTTGACCGAGGTGCAGCCCAGGAGGCCCTTAGCAAAGCTCAGTCTGAATTAAGTTCCGCTGCTAACGAGAAGGTGAGCTCTCATTTACAGATAACTTACGCCTTTGTTCTATAGGGTAAAGGGGAAACATAAGATGCCATCTAGTAATCTGATCATACATGCCCTTGTATGACTGAGTTCTCTGAGATGTCCTCTTGCGGTAGTAGTGGGGTACATTTGCTATACCGTTTTCGTTCATCCTCTCAACAGTACTATATGAACATTTTGGAATATATCTTTAGGTATTTTGCTGAATGTTGGAATTATTAAGAAGCTTTACAGATGTTCTTTAGTTTGGATAAAGGTCTTCTGCATTCTAACAATAAGTACATTATTATTTTTTAGTGAAACTTATGGATTTTTTTTAAGGGAGGAACTTTTCCCTCGTTCTTCAAAGGACTTCTCCCGCCTGGGTGAAGCGGGAAGGGGTGTCATACTCTTACTGACTAAAAACCATCCCATTCCTACTTTTGCACTTCAATCCGGAGCCCCGGTAACCCGTTAGGTTGTCCGCGGCAAACTTAGGGCTTGTCTATTGTGTTGCTGCTATGAACCAAATAAAGAGTAAAGAACATTTTAAGTACAACAACAGAAGAGTGGTTCAAAGAGAAGGAGGAGGTTGTTAAATAAGTCCTTAACCTTTCGTGTGTCTGAGACGTGGATCCACGCGAGACACAATGCATTGTCAATTGGGTCTCCTTTCGGTGCATTCAAAAGGTTAATCCTAAAACATTGTTCTTTTGCAGGCCAAGGCTCAGGCAGCTATCGCAGTAGAAGTCGCCGAGGAGATTGTCAAGGCTGCGTCTGGTTAATGTGTTCAATCGACACTGCCACTGAACAGTTAGTGTTAAAAGAACTATTTAATTTACGTCTCTGTATGAATAAACGCCGTTTCCAGTAGAACATATGTATTTTATTTATGTACCATTATGAGTGTAGATTATATTTTGTGTAATGGGCTTTTAGGCCCGGGAATGTAATATGGCTCGATTCAAATGTCCGGAAGTGTATTATCTATAGTTAGAATTTTTTATGTATGTAAGGGAGTATGGTGTACGTAAAAGATATTTAAATAAAACAACATTGCGTAGTTGACATTTGAGTAGTTTATTTAACACAAATCAAACACTTTGGTACAGTTAGTTAGCTGTGGTTATCGATGTCATACCGCCATAAAAATTACGAAACTAACTTTCAATTTCAAGTAGCTGCAAACCAAACGCACATCGACAAAAGCGAAAATATATAAACAATTAATTTCTCTCCACTGCCAATACAAATAAGATTATGGTACAAATTTTAATTGAATTATTTGCCGTAACAATTTTGAATAAATTTTATTTATTTTGTTGACATTTCAATTTTAACTAGATTTTCATTTAATCGAATTCTAATTGGAAGGTTAAGAGAAGATTATGTTGCTAGGAAGTCGCGAAAACCTAACTACAAGCCTACTTTGCGAAGCTTACACCACAATACACAACATATAATGGGAAACACCTAGAAAATGACACTCGAGTGTCTTACACCTAGTCGTCTGCGTAATATAGAAGGATAAAATTACGATTATGATTATTAAAAATGCACCTTACTGTACTAGATTAATATTTTAAAAGATTATTATAAATTCCATGTCAGCAGTGTTTGCTATGGGTTACAGGGTGTCATAGATTGAGTAATTCCTTGCAGTTCATTTAGATAGGTAACTGTTAATATCATCTTAGTATGATACGCTTCCAGTAATTTATGCGGCTTGAAGAGTAGGTAGTACTAAAATTGATTACCATTAATTTTACATAGTTATAATGCGTAACGTGTGTTACTAACTAGCTACGGATTATATAGTACTTTGTTTAAAAGTTGATTAATTACTAATAAAGAAATTTATATCCTACACTTACCCTAAGTATATGCGTAAATGCCAAAATCAAAACCAACATATTTGACACAAATAGGACGTGTGACAACAACGTAAAAGACAAAGAGAATAATTAAAAGCAATAACGTTAAAAGGAAGCATCGTTACACCACTCGGTTGTGGTCACCTAATATTACCATCCTAAGAGTATAAATAAAGTTTACGTCGATTATTATTCCATGTAAAAATTAAAAATGGGATAAAAATACAAAATATCACATACATTATTACATGTTGAGCTTAATTTAAATTTAATCCCAATCACCCCAAAACCAGATACATTTTACTGAAGCTTTCTTTAAATTAAGCTGAACAAATAAGGTAAACTATAATTACAATTAAGAATTCTGTAGTAAACGTGTTGCTGTCGAGTATGTAGGGTGGAGGTATAATATATAATGACTTGGATAGGACGTATCGCGTCACCTATCTATTTAAGCAAATATATCAATTTGAGATAACTACCACAACCATAATTTTCTGTTTTAATGGTAATTCTACTGTGACGCGTTATAGGTTTCTCTAATTTGGAAAGGTAGACTCTAATTTGTACATTACTCGACTTTCCAAATTTACCACAGATAAAGTAAGAACAAAGTAAAAAAGTAACTAAATAAAATAGTAAAATGTCCAGCCAACTTAGTTGGGGTAAATTTCAAATTAAATAGCAATACAAAAATGCGACACACAAATGAAATTGTAAAAAATAGTAGATTTGGCACGATTATCACCATCCTGCTGAAAGGTAGACCAAATTATAGAGCGAAAGTGCAATTGATAATTTATATTTTAAAAAAAGTTCTGCAAAGCTTGCGAGCGGTATATCAGCAAGATGGTAATGGTCCACTAAATTAACGTATAAAATGTGCGTGTGTCGCCGCGCTGTGACACGGGGCCCAGTTTACAGGTTACACTGCCACAGTATCGTAGGCTGTGAGTCCCCGCCCGTGGACTGCTTGCTGGGGGATTGGGGTGGTTGCTTCTGGTCTGTGAACACGGTACCAAACATTCACGTTATTGCTTGACTGATCACGTGTGCGCCTAGTTAGGGTATATTTATACATTTTTTTTGTAAGCATAAGGTGCCTTAAGATCAAAGACAGGCATTGATAAACATTTTTAAAGCATTTGGATTACACTGCTAGTAGGTATTACTAAAGGGTGGAGTTCTCTATATGAGGAACACCAATATAATGAGATACAGGGTCCGCGCATTTGGCGACTATTTACAGTGTATTAAATAAATCTAATGTAATGTATAAAATGTAGCTAAAGAAAAACCGACTTGACGAACCAAGTTTTTCTTATTACATGATAAGCAACTACATCCATCACGCATGGACTAAAAAGTAACAAGTGCCAGGGTTCTGTTCTATTTCATATTGGGCTATCATTATACATGGTATGTACATTTCATGCGTTTGTTATGGGCAACGCAATCTTCACAAAATAAAACCAAATTAGCTCAGGTATACATAACAAATTATTCGCCTTACCATTCTGGGAGCAAAACATAATATATTAGTGCACATTGGTTCAAATGTTAGCCACAAAAGGTTAATTACGAAACAAAAATATCAGGCAAAATTAAGGTGGAGTATATTCTTTTAAAATGTTCATTTTCACATACTTTGACTTACTGTTTCCTGTAGATCATGGATGCAGAACATAACACATGCTTAATAACGAGCATAGACTAGTACACAATGCTTTAGGTAAATTCAATCTATCACGTCACAATGTACTCGTGCTAGCGCTCACACAGGGATCCGGCTCACGTATTAGTATGTAGTGTTTTCAGTGCGTGTGAGTTTGTCAGTGTTCAATCTTGCATTTAAAGGGACACTTTTACTTATTTATTTAGTTTATTGTCTCAATTAGGTTGAATATAAAACATATTGTTTTAAATCTGTCCTTTAAAATATATGCAGTTATAGGAACCTTTAAAATGTTTCATACCTATGTATATGTTAGGTTTGTGCCTTAAAAATAATAAATTATTAAATATACTGTAGTGAGACAGTGTCTGTTGTAGGGTAGTTTGTGCAAGACCTATTAAACTGACCTGTCAATGAGTTTCCTCATTTCCTCGCTGTGCAAGCCGTCCTTAGCAGTGTGGGCCCTTACTGCAACAACACACAAGTCACGACGCGCTCTATACTAGCCACGACACCTGGAGCTGCCTTCTACTCGACATCGCGGACAATAACCACGTAAATATCCATGCCTCAGTCAACTTTGTGAAATATTTCATATTTAACTCGTCGAGTACCGGTTTTGTAGACACAATTATAGAACAATAGGTTGCGGTCACCGGTGACCGCTTGGTGTTTGACAGTTTAAGTATAGGTATGTATGACTTTTTCATTAGGTGGTTGTTGTTCGCGCATGTCCGTCTCCAAAACACGTACTAAATATCTACAGAATCATTTCAAATATATTAAATTAGTTAACACAATCACGTCTAAGCACATAAAATAGAAAGTTTATATAAACTGATTTTAAAGAAAATTATTGTGTAATTTTCCCAAATTAAAATTTTGCACTTGCCAAGATTAAAGCCATTAATTTTACTGCATAGAAGTTAAATCTTTAATATTGTAAAGTGCGAAAGTTAAAAAGAAAATATATAAATGTAGACGTAATTTTGAAAATAAAGATAGGTAAGCCAATTACAAGAACTCTAATTTTGAAGCTTTTCAATTTGTTATTACTTTTACAAAGTTTGCATGCTGTCAGTCACAATAATTAGAAACATAAAGGAATCAAATTAATTGATCCAAAACTTTTACCGTCTTCTGTTCAGGTGACACCCAAGTGTGCATAAACCAATTTAACAATCAATTTCAAATTAATTCTAAAGAGTTTACTAAAATTAAGAGTGGTTTTGACACCCAAGTGTGCATAAACCAATTTAACAATCAATTTCAAATTAATTCTAAAGAGTTTACTAAAATTAAGAGTGGTTTTGAAAAAGTGGAATTATAATACTACAGATGTATTTTACTAAACCATACTTTTTCTTATATTCGTTTTGCTGGGTATTAATTTTATTTATTTAATTTTCTACAACAACATATAGGTAGTATCAGTATGTGTGTAGCTAATTAGACATCACAGGTAAACACAAAACTAAAAAATGCTAATAAAATTAGTACCCACAATTTAATATATCTGAATAAGCAGCATATAATAATAATAATGACTGCATAAATATGTGATACTGATAATCAAGCAATTTCATAAAAAGTATGGCTTAATATTTGCAGTTTTAATAACAGTTGATCCAGTAGTAATTGTGTCCCTGTCAGAAGTTGCAATAAATTAGCTCTTCTGGTTTGACTTGTAGGATATTAATTTTTTGAGTACTTTGCAATTAGGTAAATGGAAGGAATGTTTGGGTAACTTGTAATTTTGTTAGTTTGTTACGTACCGGGATAGTTGCGTGGCTGGTCGCATTCGGCTTCGGAGATTTCGTTCGAGTCCTTGCTTTCATTGAATGAGGAGGAGCAGTTGTTGTCGTTGTTGGCGTTGCGTGGAGGGGGTGGGGGAGGCTCGGGGGATCCGCCGCACTTGCGGGTACCTGACACGTAAGCTGTACAGAGGTTACGTTATACTCAAAACTAACACATTTTATATAATATTTGTAAAACTAATTCATGTTGTCTGATTCCAGAAGTAACCTACAATACCATTGATATAATACGACAAGTTTTTGAGAAGCACTTATTTATAGTTATGTATGTATATCTTGTCTTTCAACAAAGAACAATATTTATTTAAGTAAAAAAATGTTTAATGTTAAAATTGGTTGTTTATTGGTCAATTTGAACTTACCAATGCTGGGACGAGATCCATAGTGATCAGAGTAGGGAGTGCCGTAAGCGCCGGTGTATTGTTCGTCTTCGGGAGCGCAGCAAGCAGGCTCGTCATACTCAGGACCACAAGCGTACATCGGGCGAGAGTAACGGGCACGCTGGGGACACAGACAAACGGATTACTTCACATATCAGGTATTATTCATACATGTTATTATTATTACATTTTTCTCTAGCAGACGTTGCCCCACACTAGGATGTTGTCTTTCTTTGTTCGTGGGCACGTTTATAATTTAACATACATACAATAAACATCACATTCAGACCCAGAACAATTTGTGGAGTATACAAAGAACTAAAAAAGCAAATGTTGGGGGTTTGTAGGAACAGTAACTATAGTGCAAAATAATTTCGTCTTACGTATTGATCTTCTTCAGCGCAGGTGGCCGGGTCGTCGTATTCGGGGGCAGTCGAGTAGATGGCGCTCTGTCCACCCTGAGAGTTCTTGCGGGCATAGCGGCTGTTGGCACGAGGCTAGAACGACACATACTTATGTATATTTAAACACGAATATTTTTTCACTTTTCTATCATAGTGAGATTTTGATATCACTTTTTGAGCAATGTTTATACTTCGTGACTTTTGTTATAATAATAATAATAATTTGCAGTTTGATCAAAAATGTTGTGTCGCACGTACCATGCTCTGGGATCCGGCGCGCGAGTGAGCTGGGTGGTGTGGGTGGGGGTGGGCGAGGGTGCCGGCGTGGGCGGGGTGATGATGCGGGAAGGCCAGGGCCTTGCTGGGGTCCATCTCCTCGCGGAAGCCTAGCAGGTGGAACGTCGCGTACGGGCAGATTTCGTCTTCCATGCCTGTTCATACAATTAAACACAGGTATATTAGACATTGAATTATTTCTTAGTAGTAAACAATTGGAGTATATACTTAATTATTGTTTCTATAGCGCCCGAATACCCTGAAAGGTTGCTCAATTTTAAGTTGTACTTAAATGTCGTGCCATCTCTGTCAGTTTACAATATATACTATACTTAAGCGCGACTTAAATTTGAGTGGCGTTTGAGTATTTGGACATTTAGTTTCGTTATATTAAAATATTTGAATAAAATAATACTCCAATTGCTTACTACTACTATTCATTTATAAATTAGATTAGTGATAGTGTCACATCCACTGCAATCTCCTGTGAATTATAGCTGTACAGTTATTGTATTTCCATGCTAAAATTGTACCTCACGTTTTAGTTGTCACTCGAAAACACAATTAGGTATATAGCTTACATCAATACTGTAGACTATTCTCTCTCTCTCAATATTTAATTAGTACCTACTTACGGTTTGTTGGTATTTAGTGGACGAAAGTAGTTTTAAAACTAAAGTAAGCAAATAAACAGTAACTGAGGTTAGAAAAGTGCAAACAATATGTAGACATCATGCAACTATAAATAAAATAATAAATTAATAATCAATAATTATCATATAATATTATACTCACTCAATTGTTGTTAATAGTTGACCATTCCATCATTCAGATAAATAAATATGTTATAGTTACCATTCTCTGCAAATGTGTCTCATAAACCAATTCCAAGGCACAATAAAGAAGACACTTTTAAAACTGAAATGTCTTCTTTACCTACCAACACATGAGCATAAAACTAATTTTAACGAATATTTACAATTGTTTTTTCTTTTAATTCAGCCAAAATAGTTGAAGCGCGGATATATATATATATATTATAGGCGGCGTTGGTGTCGTTTAAAAACTATTTTAGACTTTCCATTAACAGTTTCCAAAGAATACGACCAGGATGTAGTTTAAGATAGTTTGAACGTATTTTGTTTAATGTGGGCCTAACATAACGATTTATGATGGGTTAGTCGTATGCTCATGTCGTGCATGCAGTTGGTCTGACCTGTGGAGGCGGTGTCTCCGGAGCCGGCCCTGCGCAGGCGCGGGCGCCGGACGCGCTCGTAGTGGTGGCGGCGCGGGTCCCACGTCGAGTGCGCGCCCACTGAACCACACTAACGTTACGCATGCGCTAACACCCAACACACCACTCAACTACGATCTAACTCACTTTGCCAAATGCCTCTAATATTTATTGAAGTAAAATGTTACTATGGAAGCTAATATTTGACTACTTTTATTGTGTTTGTAAGCCTGCCCCCTACGTGGAAGATGTAATCATCACAGTATGAGCTAAAACATAAAACGAAAGGGAGCAGTGAATTTGATAAAAAGTGAGTTTGATTGTACTTGAGTGGTAACGTACCATAAATGGGGGTTTAATTTTTGGGTCAAATCGTTATATTAAAGTTTGGTATGTAAACTGATTCATTTTATGGAATATGTTTAGTAACTTTTACCCTCTACTCGGCACTATACAACGAAATGACCCGAAAGTTAAGCTGAAATTAGGAAAATTTAAGGTCATATAAAATACAAAGCTAAACTAAATAAAGGATTTGGACATAAACTTGCAAGTAAATTATATAAAACGTAGGTAGCTGTGGCCTTTACAGAACATATAACATTTTCCTTGTACCTAGATATTGTAAAACTATTACAACATAGCTTTCACCATACAATCACCACTAAGAAAAAAAAAAGAAGTAGGATGAAGCACAAAGAAGAATCAGAGCGATAGTCGTGCAAAAAGAAGTAATAAGAAACATGAAGTGTTATACATAAACCATTACCTCAAGTAAAGTATTGGTGATCCTTACCGGCGGTCAGCGGCTTAATGTTCCGACTAGGTATACAGTGATTGTGTGAAACTAATAATTATGTGGTGGGTGAGCAAGGTGAACAGTTGTGAGAAATCAGACTGCCAATTACTTGAGTATGTTTTTACCTATCTTACATACTCTTTGACTCTTGTGTTTTAGTTTTTTCTTTTAGCTAGTCGATTACAAATTGTTACAATTCGTGAGAGAGGTGAAGTATTAGTTTGATGTGTGAAGCTGTAGATGGTATGGTACTCACTGATGACGGCCTGTCGCTTGACGCGGTCGCACGTGTTGTAGTTGGAGCCGGGCACGGGCGGCAGCTTGCGGTTGGGCGGCGCGATGTACCCGAGCTCGTCCCGCAGTCCGCCGCGCTTGTCCAGCGTGCCGCCGCCGCCGCCCAGCGCGGCCTGCGACGCGTTGTACACTGCGTCGTCTGACACAACACATATATGTAAGCTTCGTTTCCTCTACTACTATCATCATTTTTCACCCTTCTACTCACGTAATCTGCAACGCAAGCTTCAAAAGACCTCTAGTTATGAGCTCTTGACACTGCTATAAATTTCGCGACAAGAGCTCCATGTTATATAATATTATGTTACAACATCGACTAAATACTTGTTTATGACGAGCAAATTATATCAAACTATGAATTTGGTAAATCAAAACAAAATTAATGATTTAAACTTAGTCGTCCATGCTAAGGATCAGTATGGGTCCAAATATAATTGATGACAGATTAAAATACAAAAATGGTTAATGATTAAGTACTAACGCTATAAAATCGAATTTGGGTAAAATAAATAGTAATAAAGCGGCGTGCCATGCCACCATACATACAATACATGTCCTTCTGACCTCGCAGGCGGTGCGGGGTGTTCCTGCGAGCTAAGGTCAGACAGATCACCACCACGCCTACGATGAACACCACGATCGTTGCCAAAATTGGTACTAGGACTTCTGGTTCCAGCCAAGCCTTGACCCAGGGAGGCAGTTCCTTATCGGTGCCGATGTTGCCAGGTAAGGGAGCAATGGTTCCTACAATAGCAAAATAAGAGATGAAGATTTACCTTTGTGATGGTCCCGAGCGCCTCGTACCACGCAAACGACTACGATAGCAATGATGATAACAAGGATCGCGGCGACTACGGGCACGATAAGGTTAAGATGCGACAGGATTATCTTGAGAGTCTGTTCGGTGGTCAGAGTGCCGCCGCCGACCTCGCGCGCGGGCGCAATAGTACCTGAAATGCAAGCCCCACGTTACTTTGATCTAAAAACACCGATATAAGGATGAATAAATTAAAATAAAAAGGCGATGCATTTCAGGTACGTTTTGGTATAATTTATGAAACAGCAATGTTGTAATGCCTTTTGGCAATCAAAAGAATGGAAGAGTTATTTCAAAGTATACTATAAGTCAGCAACTAACCTCCGGTCATGGTAAGCGTAGCAAATTCGTATTCGGCGACGTTGAATCCAGCGTTGTTGTGGGCTGTAATCCTCAGTACATACCAAGTGGCAGGTTCCAGATCTACCAATACAGATAAAATATTACTACCACCCTTTATAGATTAATTATTATGTTAATAACTTCATATTTGAAAGGTACAAACCAAGTACGACGAAGTTTCCACCGGGTTTGACAGCATTGGAGATTTGATTCCATTCAGCAGCACCCCTGATAAAAGAATGCGTTGATATTTATTTAAGATCAAAGAAAAGCACCACCAGAAAGGCACCTTTGAACGTCAACAATAACATTAAAAGTGAATCTATTTGCTCATTCCAAGGTGTAGAGTCTTATGGAGAAGAACGAGCCAGAAACTCCATAGGTTACTCTTTTTCAATCAGGTTCACAATACAATTCTCTAGTTACATAGTTTTGCTGTTTGGATTGTGCGAGAACAATGTAACACCAACATCCAGTCAAAGTGATCGAAAAAGAAAATAACCTTAAAGACAATAAATAATACAGTCTGGAGCTGACCAGTCCCAGTTGACGGCGCCCGTTCACGAACATGACACGTACACCAGCACCGCTCAACTCAACCATATTGTAGGGAATCGAGCGATCCACTGCACGCGCCACCCCCAATGAGACCTTTGAGTGAGCATGACAACTCCAAGCTGACGCAAATGCATCAAGTTGTGTTTATGGATGCAGATGAATCTTTTCAAGAAACTTTTTTTATGAAACTGCACTTTTCTATTAAATATTTTTAATTAAAATCAAATTCTTGTAATAACTAAAAAGTGTAAAGACTTACTTTTTCTTGTTCTCGACGACAAAGTGGCTCATGGGGCATCCGCCATCCAACCATTGTTTGAGGTGCAGAGTGACTGAAGAGCTTCCGACTTCAATGAAATCAGCGGCGCGAGGTACCGGGGGCTTGGAACCGCGAGTACGGGCGATCACCACGTCTGAAGCCTCACCAGTGCCGATACTACACATACAACATCATTTAAAGGTTTGTGCTATAGTATACTGTTATTAAGGATTAAATTATTAAAAATTGCATTATAACCCACTTTTTGCATGTATTTTATGAATTTCATGTATTCGAGGGTGACTGTATTGCTATAGGTGTATACTATTCTAGACTCCAGGCTGATAATTGACAATTTTCAAAGCCAGAATTCCTTTTCAGAATTCTCAAAACCGAAGCCGGAAATCTTTGGTCGAGTGTTGTGCTTGTCTCAGTGACGAATCCTCGAATAAACGAGGATTTTTTAAAAAATTATACAATTTATGAAATACCTAGTGTACACTGTAGAGGAAATGTGTAGTATTGTTATAATACTTACCCGTTGTAAGCTGTAACGTAGAGTTGATATCTTGAACCGCAGAACAAGTTCTCCAAAGTGTAAGTGTCAGTGGTGCTTGGAATCTGAAGAAAAATAAACGTGTTTATATAGGTACATTTATTCAGCAACGACAGAAAAGAAAGTTTATTTTATTAACCTGTACGGTTTCCCAATCTCCGAATTCTTGTTTGTAGTGGATGGTGTATCCTGCGGCGGGCGACTGGTCTACTTCAACGGAAGGCTTCAGGCGGAGAGTGAGAGATGACACGGACGACGACGCGATGCTGAGTTGAGGCGGGAAAGGAGGAGCTGCGGGGAAATTGTGAGTTACACTTTTCTGATACCTACTTTTTTTCTCCAGAAAGTATTAATCATATCCTTCTTAATTACGTTTTTTTTTACAAATAAAAATACCCATTATTGGAAACTTGATATCACACAAATTAGCTACGGATTTCAATTATAAATCAAACCTGTTTTTCATGGACCGAGTCCGAGGTATCGGCTTCTTAGTACATATAGTTTGTATGTAGACTTAGTGGAATACTCACCGAGTACTGAGAGCGTATGGGTAACAGTATCAGTTCCGAATTGATTGTCAACATGGCATGAATATTCGCCGGCGTCCTCACGAGCTACGCCAGCAATCTGCAGGGATCCTTCAGGCAATTGACGCACACGTTCTGACGCTTCCAGGGGATGGCCTTTCACCTTCAATTATAAATATTTATGCGTGAACAAATACGAACTTAAGTTAATCACCAATTAAATAGTATGGGTTCCTTGAAATACCTTCCACAAAATGTTAGGAGGAGGAACACCGACAGCAAGGCAGGGCAGTTTGACATCTTCCTTGTAAGTAGCGGTGAAAGATTCATCGAAAGACGCGATCTTGGCGGGAACTAAAGGAAATAAATATTATCAATAAAAATAACGGAATTATACGCAAATAAGGTAATTAAGACTACCTCATTGGCCGAATGGTCGCAAGTGCGACTGCCGGCCACGAGGTCTCGGGTTCGATTCCCGGGTCGGACAAAGTATTACTGGGTTTTTCAAAAAATTCACAGTAGTAGCACGGAGTCTGGAATTGTGCCCGGTATATGGCAATAGGACCACCCCCTATTATATGGGACTCATAACAGAAATAGTGAAAAGTGGGTATTACATTGTACTGTGGCATAATGTACACTTCTGCCTACCTATGTTAAAGTAATTAACATGCTTGTAGTGGTTGTGTACCTTTATCGCTTGGGCTGCAGGAAGCGGTGGCTGAGGGTTGGCCTTCGCCGATGATGGTAGACGCGGTGACCCAGAAGTCGTAACGGCCGGCTTTCAGCTCAGTTGCCGAGTAGCTAGTTTGAGAAGCTGGTACCTTCATAACAATTAGATGAAAAGTTAAATATTATCCATAAATCTATTAGTAGTTTATTTGTGTAGTGAGACAGCAACAGACCTTGTTGGGATGGGGTTCAGCGTTCTGTGCCTGAGTGTAGACATTGTAATGAGTAACAACACCGTTGGGTTGCGCAGGAGGCCTCCATGATACCAGGATCGAGTCTTGTCCCATAACTAATGCTTTCACAGCACGAGGAGCTTCCGGTACTGGAATAAATCATACCACGTTAATAAAACTCTCTTTTTGAACTATTCTGTGTTGATAAGTATGGCGGTTCGTACTTACCATCTTGTTCAGTTTGGCAGTGAATAGGAGCAGATCGGACGCCATCGCCTCCGTTGGTAGTCGCAAGCACTTCCATAGAGTAGTTCGTAAATTTCTTAAGTCCGTGAAGGATAGTTTCGCTGCTGGCCGTAATCTTAGTGTCCTTTGACTTTTCATCTACAAAAAAAAAATGTTAGTTAGTATGAAGTGTATGTACCTATTACTTATGCAATTAAAATATGAAATTTTTTTTTCAACAATTTCAAATTCAGTGTGATACTTACCATACCAAGTTTCGCTAGGTCCGTAAATCACTTTGTAAGCCTTGATAAGTCCGTTAGCAGCAGCAAGAGGAGGGGATACCCATGATACACGGATTGTTTGCGCCGTAAGAGTAGTACAAAGAACGTCTTGGGGTGGAGCAGATGGGGCACCTTCAGCGGTATAAGCTCGTACTTCTCCGGACACGGGGCCTGATCCCATCTTGTTAAAAGCTTGTACTACAATGGCATATTGAGTGTAAGTCCTGGAAACAGATTTATTTTTAGTTAACTTGTTCGTTAAAATTATCAAAAGTTATTTTGTATTAGTATCAGTAGCAACAAAGCCTCCAGCCTAGTGTACAACACCAGAGGTGCGTTAGCGACTATGTATATTGTTGAACTGCGCCATTATTGATAGCAGCACGACGCTTGCCGCATCAACTCTCATATATGCCGTTCATAACTATAATCTCTGCTCCACTAGTCCAGTTACCATGTCGAATAATAATTATTTTAGTTCAAACTTACTTCAAGTTTAGAATGTCCAAGTGATGTTCCTTGCCAGATTCCTTAGAGATATCAACGGTTTCAAAGACGAAAGATTTGTTGCTAGACGCCAGTTTGTAACCAACATAGTATCTGTAGACATATTTAAATTTTATTTAAAAAAAGAACCTCTTTTTGTTTATTGATGAGGGGATCAATTTGTAATTTACCCTTGGAGGTCACCGTTCCAGTCTTGTGGTGGGGGAGGCTTCCAGGTGACGCGGAGGGTGTGCTTATCAACAGCATCAACTTTGCAGTCTTGTGGGGGACCAGTAGGGGCTTCTTCAGCGGTTATAATGGTAACAGTCTCAGATGGCTCAGAAGTTCCCAGTTCATTCTCAGCAACGATCCTGATGTGGTAGGCGGTGGCAGGTCTCAAGCTAAAAACTCCGGCTTCAGTCGTATCTCCGGGTACAAGAACTCTGAAAAAATAAGACAGTTGGTTAATAAAGTGGACTATTATTTACACTCTTTTTAAGAAAATACATTGAAAAATTACCTGTCAATGTCTTTTTCCCAGTTACCCTTGGCTCGTTTGTATTCAATGAGGAACTTCTTGATTGGAGAATTGCCATCATAGGGAGCCGCCCATGACAGTTGTACGGTCCTTCCAGATTTGTCCAAAACCTTAAGGCCATACGGAGCTTCGGGTACCTCTGTAAAATGATGAAATATTATTATGAGCTCTTTGAAAATATTTTATTTTACTGGCAGCGAAATTATATTGATATGTTAAACTAACCTTGAATGATCATGTTAATGCTGGTATCATCGGAGCCAAATGCGTTGGTAGCTACACAAGTGAAAAGAGCGCTATCTGATCGTTCAGTCCTTCGGATGCTAAGGTCAGAGACAACACCACCGGGCAAGATTTCTTCGCGAATAGTGTATCGTGGGTCTGATTTGGGTTCGAGGCGTTTGTTGTTCATGTTCCAGATTATTCCAATTGGCTGTAATATAAAACAGTAGCAATATTAAATAATGCCTGAGCTGCGTCAAAATTTTAGCTTAGTTGAAAATAAGTTACCTTTTCTCCTTTAGCTTGGCATTGCAGGACAGCGGGTTCACTTCGGCGTGCAGTCTGATTTCTCATTTTAATTTCGAATTGGGGTGGAGCTAAAATTATACGCAAACACTTAATATTGCACTATCATTACGAGTCATAGTTTTTATTGAGCTCAGATTAACAATGCAAGCTTACCTTGAACGCTAATCAGAATAACAGCCGATAGTCCTGAACCGATTCCATTCACAGCTTCGCACAAGTAGTATCCCTCATTCGTTTTCTGAATATTAGCAATAGTCAATGTTCCATCCTCAACTTTTACGTTAGGGTTGTTTGGCTTAAGATCTTTGTAATCGCCAGGGGTGTCACCTAAAACGAAACGACGACACAAGATATTTTAGTTTCCATTATCTAATTTATTTTAATTATTTATTTTATTACCTTCATACATAAAAAAAAATATTTATTTTATTACCTTCAGCCCGTTTCCACGTCACTTGGGGCTTAGGGAACCCATCGGCTTTACATTCAACTTTAGCATCAGAGCCTTGTGCAAATGCCTTATCAGTGGGTTCAATAATCCAGCGGGGGGGAACTGAAATATTATCATTTTGTTATAGAACGTGTCTCGTTGCCTTCATATGTATGGGACCAAAATTACATATTAAACTGTTCTTTCAATATCCTCTTTTGTTTTATTTGATGAGGATTTCTAGTTTATGATTTACAAATATGAGAATTAAATTCGCTATATTATTTTTAAAAGATATTATTTGCACTCTAATTTCAGTAAACAAAAAATTGTAATCTTATATGAAGAAAACACTGAGTATTATTATTAAACTTTGAATTTGATTAAATTTACTTTAAATTGTAATTAAATCTATTTCACAAAACTAGAGGGGCTTTGTTCTTTAATAACAATAACTATTTAAATATATTTGAAAATTATTGTAAAAATAAGGACAGACTTAAGTTCACCTGTGTGAACTTTCATCATTAACATGAAAATTATATGTATTAGATTTCTTGGCTTCTAAACTTGGACGTACAATTTTATTCAAATATACTTAAATATGTATACATTTAAAAGCTTCTATAACGACTACTCAAATGTCATTTGAATTCTAATGAACTACACACGTTGTGTATAAGCTTTTATAAATATGTAATACTCATAGTGGATATATCATTGTATATGTGCTTTAAGGCGTCGCCATAATAGCTTTTAAATGAATTATAATATTTGATGCTAGCAAAAAAAATATATATAGGCATATCAAACTACAAACCAAATAATATTAAATTGGAGTGTATAAAAATAAAACAATGATAAATAAAAAGCAGAATTATTCACCAAGTCCACCGTCAAAACATTCAAAGCGCGCTACAAATATAAACAAATAATGTCAACAGACATTATAAAGTTAGTAAGCCAAGCAACAAGCTTTAAATTAACGGCAATAACGCAAATTATTTTAATGAAACAAATATAAAGAAAGGAACCCAAAGGAGAGGATGGTATGAGGATAAAAATAAATTGCACGGATAGGAGGAAAGGGTACGTCGATGATAGCCGCAGCCGGTTCCTAAAGCATTCGAAAAGACTGATCTAAACTCAGTTTTCAGATTTTAACCTGATTGCATTAAAGTATTCACGAAAACGTGAACAACTTTCAAATGAAGACATTAATAATAAAGTGAGATTTGAGAAGAATTCGTTTCACTACGGATCAACGATACCTATTTAGAATATTATTTATCAAAAGTAACGTAATAATTAAAGCATACAATATCGAATCTACGCAAAGCTGGTCCGTGCTAGGATTGAAGGGTACACAGATGCGTGACGGTACCATGGACTTCTAGTGAGGCGGTATAGTTGGACATGCCAGCGGTATTTCGCGCGATACACGCATACAATCCGCTGTGCGACCAGCCTGCTGGGTCGATCAGAAGCAATGAAGCTCTCTGCGCTATTTTAGTTGCCGTCACGCCGGCTTTCTCCTTCAAAGGTTGCCCTTCAAAGTACCACTGAATATCGAGAGGTTGATCGCCCTCCGAGACCAAACATGTAACTTGACTGGCCTGCCCCGCAAACAGCGGGGTCTCGAACGAAAATGGAACTATGCGAGGCAGTACTGGAAATAACCAAGATTTTTGGATTAGGTCGATTAGGATACCATCGAGGCAGGCAATGTTAGCGACTAATGACAAAGAGAGGTATAGAATGGTGACTGTGAACGGTTTCTCCTTTCAGGTGCGATATTGTGAGGTTAGTTCCCATATTAACGATTCAGTCGGCATCATAGCATTAATAGATTCAGACGTGCCGTTGACGACGAGTGTCGCTGCATATTCTGCGCGGCCGGCCGCATTCTGCACGATGCATGTGTAGTTCCCTTGATGGTTTGCGCTCACGGAGTTGATAGTGAGGATGGAGGCACGAGGATTTAGAGGCATAGTTGTGATGTCTCGCTGGAGGCTCGAGTCTATAGTTTCGCTGCTGAACGTCCATGAGATGTCGAGAGGAAGATCTCCCTTAGTGGCGACACAATTCACTAAAGCTGTGTCACCGGGGTTGAATGGCACCTCGCCGAAATTGAACGGCATTATCAACGGTGGAACTAGGACAGTAAAAAATTTATGGTACAGTGAAAATGCTTTAAGGAAATGAAAGTTTTAGGTTATAAGGACGGAAGCGTAAAAATATACACTTTTGTTCGCACCCTTTACAACCAAATCGGTAGTATGTGACACGATTCCCGCAGCATTACTCGCAGTACAATTAAAAAGTCCTGCGTGTGTTGCATCCACGGACTCTATTGTCAATACACTACTTCTTCGGTCGTTGTTACTAACACGCACTCCAGGAATAGACTTGGCAGATTGGTTATTGACCATCCATTCAATAAGAACCGGTTGATCCCCATGAGTTACAATACATTGAAGAGCAAAGTAATCCCCAAGAAAAGCCGGTTCTGGGCCGGCAGTGAAAGGTGCAATCTTGGGAGGAACTGAAACAAAGTTTATCTAAATGTCAAAATAATAAGTTGCTACCATAGATGAGACTAACCATAAACAACTAAATCTGCTGAATGGGTATTACGGCCAGCACGATTCTCCCCGATACATGTATAAGAACCAGCGTGTATCGCGTCCACAGATTCTATTATTAATAAGCTACTCCGCTTTGAACTGCTCACAACATAATTATTATTCCTTTGAGATATGGATTGTCCGTTAAACATCCAAGTGATTGTGAGCGGAAGGTCACCATAATTAATAGTGCATGCAGCTTGTAAGTACTCTCCGACGTTGGTGGGTTTTTCGCCGAATGTAAATGGCAAAATATTGGGAGGAACTGGAATGTTATAATTAATTCAAAGTGAAACTGGATAGTTATACTAGATTAAATATTTGAGATATATGTTTCTAAAACGACAATGACACAAATAATCTAATTTACCGAGCACCAGAATCGAAAAATAATTAAGCACCGTTTATTATCAAAGTAGACGTGTGATAATGGACTCCCGCTTCGTTTTCCGCAACACAAGTGTAGTTTCCAGCGTGATTGTGGGCTACTGAAGCTATGCTTAGAATAGCACTTCTCTCGCCTATATTAAATACAGTTACTCCAGATCTGGGTTTAATAGGTTCGTTGTCAAAGAGCCATTTTAATCGCAGTGGATGGTCTCCCTCAATAACAGAGCAGGGGGTCGTTACTACTTGTCCAGAATTCATTGCAACTTCGCCGAAAGAGAAAGGTTGGACCACAGGAGGAACTAAACAGAAAGCAAGCACATCCGAGCTGTAACGTTTCAGTACCAATAACATTTAGAAGAACGGTGTGAGTGGTGATGCCTGCCCTATTCGCAGCTGTGCACGTGTAGTTGCCACTGTTGGGCCCCAGGGCGGTGGGTATATCAAGAACGGATACACGTTCGCTTAAAGTTGTAGTCTTTATCCCCATTCTGCGGGAGACAGGATGCCCTTGAAAGCTCCAGGAAATGTTCAGGGGTGTATCGCCTTTTGAAACGTGACAGTCGAGGTGCACAGATTCTCCAGCAAATACGGCTTCGTCTAACTCGAAAGGTTTGATGTGAGGGACGACTGAGTAAAGAAAATATTGTAACGTTAGTAAGTATGTAGGTATATAAGGCGCATGCTGTGACATCTAGCGGAAATACCCTTAATGTTGAGTGTAGTGGAATATCTATCTTCTCCCGCTCTATTCCTGGCGATGCAGGTATAATTTCCACTGTGGGCTCCGGTCACAGATGCAATAGACAAAAATGATGTCTGCTCCGCCATTTTCATAGTTTTAATTTCCATATGAGAGGAGAGATCTTTGCCTTCAAAGGTCCATGTTATAGACATCGGTCGGTCTCCTTTACTGGCGTGACAGGTCATTTGTACTGATTCTCCATAATAGATGGATTCTTCGATTTCAAACGGTAGTATATGGGGAGGGACTAACAATAAAAGAAAAATGTGATTTCTAAAAGTAAATCTAAACGTGCAGTATTCTATACACATATGAAACAATTTTCTTACAGTAGCTATTGTACTAGGGGAACACATCCAATACCATGAATATTGACGAGGACAGAGTGATATGCGCGTCCGGCTCTGTTACTGGCCGTGCATGTGTAGTTGCCGCTGTGTTGGCCCATAGCAGTTGGAACACTCAACACTGAAGCTTTTTCTCCTAACTTAGTTGTGGTTACGCCCATATTATTGTGGTAAGGAATTTCATGGCCTTCAAAACTCCAAGATATTTGAAGAGGTCGATCGCCTTTCGATACATGACAAGTAAGGTGCACGGATTCACCAGCGAATATAGATTCTTCAACTTCGAACGGAATAATGTGAGGTACAACTTGAATAAAAAAGAAAAAGTAATTGTAAATGAAGAATCTTACGAAGGTAACAAGGGAAACCAGAGAGAAATAATAATAAATATTCTAGCCAATAATACGAAGTAAACCCAAACATGTCTCTGTGAACGATGCTATTTTATGGAAGGTCCGAAAAGAAATTCTAGGTTGCATATATTATTAGTTGTATGTACCAATAGAAAAAATTGCTACTCCATGGCATCATTACTTTAAATTAAGAAAAGATTCAATTCGAGTGTAAATGTGTGTTATTCTTTCAGCATTACTAACGACAAAAGTAAGTAAGGGACGAAAAATGATAAACAAAAAATAATAATGTTTGCTGCTTTTAGATATGCACCACAGAACTCATGCTAATTCTGCTAGCAAATCTTAGAAATTGTGTCAACATTCGTCATGAACTTAAACAAAACATGAACTACCATGAATAAATGAAACTGACCATGAACATTAAGAACAGTGGAATGATTTGTGGAACCGGCTCTGTTAGTAGCTACGCAGGTATAGTTGCCACTGTGGCTAGCAGTTGCCGCAGATATTGACAAAAATGATGTACGCGATGTCATTTTGTTCGTCATAATATCTAGATGTGATGAAGTATTTTCGAACCCATGAAAGTGCCATTTGATGTCGAGAGGTAAGTCGCCCTTGGAGACATGACAATTAAGTTGCACTGGTTCTCCAGCAAACACCGATTCGTCAGCTTCAAAGGGTACGATGTATGGCAACACTGTTAATTTAGAAGGATATACTTATTGCAAGGTCAAGCTTGTAGCGTGCGAGAGGCTAGGACTGCTAACGGGCATTGGGAGTACCATGGACATTAACTGTGGTCGAATGAACTGCCAGGCCAGCGGCGTTAGCGGTATGACAAGAATATTCGCCGCTGTGGCTAGCTTGTAAACTAGATATCGTCAACAACGATGTCCGTTCACCAATCTTCATTGTAGCTATTCCTTGATGCGAAGATAATTCTTGGCCATGGAAACTCCAATTGATTTTTATAGGTACATCGCCTTTTGATACATGGCATCCCAATTGTATTGATTCGCCGGCGAAAACAGGCTCTTCGGCCGAAAATGGTATGATGTGAGGAGGAACTGGTGAGGGCAAACAAAATACAAAAATAAATAAAGTAGGTAATGGTAACACACGAGAACAACTAGTGTACCCTGAACATTTAATGTAGCTGTGTGGTTGGTGCTTGCTACAACATTGGAAGCTGTGCATGTGTAATTTCCAGTATGTTTTTCGGTTGCAGCCGGAATGGCAAGAATAATACTTCGTGCGCCTACTTTCGTGATAACAACTGCGTCAGATTTTTTTAGAGGGTTATCTTGAAATGACCATCGTAAGTCCAATGGCATATCGCCTTTCGGTATATGGCACATAACCTGTATGCTTTCGCCGTAAAATACGGCCTCATCAAACTCGAATGGGGAAATAATCGGTGCCACTGAAAGAGATAGTCAGTTTGGTGATAGATTTGTGAAACTAATTACATACATCTACCTACAATAATATAATTTGCCATAGGAGTGGTGGGAGAAATAACAAAACAGGACGCAAAAGCATAGACATTTCACCGAGACGATGTACCCTTAACATTGAGCGTGGCGTGGTGGCTAGCACTGGCGACAAGGTTAGAGGCGGTGCATGTGTAATTGCCAGAATGTTTAGCCGTCACCGCCGGGATTATGAGAACTGAACCCCTATCGCCCGCGTTCATGATGTTCAAACCGGTTAGTGAACTCACATCTCCACCGCTAAATGTCCACTGGATATTTAAAGGTTTATCTCCTTTTGGTACATGGCACATGACTTGAACACCCTCTCCGTAAAACACAGATTCATCGAATTCAAAATGAGTGATAACTGGTGCCACTGAAATGTATTTACTGAGAAATTAAAGTTTTGAACGTTTTATCTTCCGTTGTGTTCTTGAATAGAAGAGACAATTTATGTCCCGCCAAAGTACAAAAGGTAAAAATAAATTATAAAAACTAAAACAACACAATCTAGCAGGCTTAAATGCTTAACGTAGATACCATTGACGAATAACTCCGCAGTATGATTCATGGTGCCAGCCTCATTTTTTACCACGCAAGTGTAATTCCCTTGATTCTCATGGCTAACAGAATCTATATTAAGTTGACTTGATCGTTTCATGTTCACTAAATTGATTCCGATATCCCCAGAGTTCACACGTTTTCCGTTGAAAAACCAAGTTATTGTTAACGGAAGATCACCCTTACTGACAGCACACGTAGCCAAAACCATTTCTTGGGCATTTACTGGTCCCTCGCCAAACTCAAAATGTTTTATCTGTGGAGGGACTGCAGACCAAAATATATATAATAATTTACAAAAAAAGACTTAATAGCTCGTGATCCCTAGAAGAAATTCAATGTGAGTGGAGTTTTTAAAAGTAAATTAAAATGTTTATGAAATTCAGAAGAAACTTTTGGTTTTATATACACCATTGTGTGATGTTAGCAACTAATACTTCAATGTTAAAATAACATATATTATTATATCTATCCACAGATTGGTTAAAATATCACGCAGAAAATGTGTAGGATAGGTCGTGTAAGGAAAATGTATGAGTCACAAAAATACACCAATAAACTAAATAAAAATACGAGTTCGTGCGGAGAAAAGCTAAACAATGTTTGCTAGTGTTTGTTTTAGTACCATTGACGTTGAGTACTGCAGTATGGCTA